GAAAGAATCATTTTAGTAACATGTTGTAAAATGTTGCAAGTAAACAGTATAATCCTATGATGCTCTGCGTTTGGTATGCTGTTCCAAAACAGCCTGACTCCCTCAGTGCAGCCTGCAGATCAACCCCGTTCAATCCAAGCCTCCTTTACAAGGGGAAGAGATCTTTTATGCGCATTTGCCAGTGGATTCCATGTTAAAATCACAAACTTACTACATTTGCCTTTTTTTTTTTTTTCCTTCACAGAAACATTCGCCCTTTCTACAAATGTGTGTTCCTCTTTCATCGACATCATCGATACTGCAGTGGTCCGGAGAAATTTCACCTATGAAGAAGATCCCACTGCAAGGGGCAGCAGCCAGACATGCCTGCAAACGGGCTGAAATAAAAACCTGAAAATACGCCATCGTTCTATATTCCTGAGTTATGCTCCAAGAGTTGATTATTCTTTTACAGGTGTCAGCCAAAATATACTATTGGTGCTACCCCCAGGCCTGAGCAGTTAGAACTTTAACAAGCAACACAAGGCCCTGGGACTGATCCAGAAGAAAAAGGGAATATTGACCACGTACAGGCACCAACAGAGTCAACGCAGAGCCAACTTCTGGTGAGTTTCTCTGATGCATTCGCACCGAGTCTTACTCTCAAAGAAGCCCTAACAATGGCACAGACAGAAAACAGCAGGACTATGACTAGCAGTTGAACCAAAAAGGAGGACACATCTCAGGTAGCAGCTCGATTTGGAGGGGGAAAAGGTTTTTTAACATAAATAAATAAATAAATAAATAAATGAGAGAAGTGTATCATGAAGTGGCACATTTAAATTCTTTTAATATAAAAAATTGCCCTCTACTTGTGTTCTTCTAAAATTAAGGTCTGTGTTCGGCTCCTATCTTACATTCCTGCCCACATAAGAAGAACTACATATCCCAGTCAAAAGGCAGGGTGTATGACTTGCTCCAAGGTCACACAGCAACAATCATTTTGGCCATGACAGCAAATCGAACAAAAGCTCTGTTGTGCCCCAAAACAGAGAAGCAGTTACGAATGATATGATACTTTCACAGTGTTAAGACTCAAGATAAGTCTCTACCTACGGTGTTTCCTTTAGAGTATTTCTATTTTGATATAAAAAGAGTATTTTAACATAAAAAGTGTATTTTATCTATCTATTTATATGCTATCTATTACAATCCCTTCAACTAATCAGAGAGTTTGAACACAAGAAACAATTCCAGGCTGGCTCAAGTGCCCTCTGTCATGAGTTCCACTCACTGCAATTCCAGCTGACATCTCCAGCCAACAGCCCCACTCTGCAGCCTGAAACCCCGAAGATGGTTTCCAGAATTTGCAAAGCCCTCCATGGACACGCGTGGGTCTCCACATGCCTGCAGGAGTTCATCTGCACACATCCAACCGCAGGGACAGAGTCAAGGCTTGCAATTGCTTTAAGCACATAGTGCTCTCTGACTTCTCCATTAATTCGCTTCTTGGTTATCAAAAACGTGTTCGGGGGGGACTCCTCCAGTCTCTCAGCATATCAATATCCAATGATACTACACGGAAGTAACAAGTTTGTTTTTTCAAAACATTTCCACTGGCTCCACATTCTTCATTCCTTTCATCTCACCCTTGCAACAACTGCATCCATCACCCAACAAAGTTTGCACAAATCATTTTTTGCTTCTTGTCTGAAGGTGCCTTGCCTCCTCCCACAGGATGTTATGCCTATCTCATGCTTATTGGTAGAAGGTAAACAGGTACGTTACCTCATGGTCACACTGAGCTATTGTGAGTTTATTTCAAAGGATAAGTTCATGCCATTTAAAAAACAAGCAAAACCATACCTGACTGAAAACATAAGCCAGCCTCCCATTAATCCGTCCACGGCCAGTCACCACACTGTCTCCAGGATACTGCATTAAAAAAACAAATAAATTATTTAAGAAAAATAATTGAAAAAAATCAAAGCTGCAATGATGCCCACTAAAAAACCCACAAACTTATACTGAGTACTAAGTTAAAGCAAAGACTGATTCTCCGAGAGGACTGGTCTTCCACGTTTGCAGAGGGGGTTTCCCCCAGCCCTGGAAAAGAAAACTAGAGGGAATATCATATATTAGTTGTATATTAGTGTAAAGATTCATGAATTTTGCAGTTTCCCTTCAAATTTCAGCATATCTGGAGTTAAGGCAAATCATGTCCTTACAGACAGGACATAACTTTTATTAGGACCACCTGATGGTTTTGAAAGAATGGACATAGCACACAACCTTTCCTGAGGTGTTGATAACAGAGAAAAAAAACAACCCTAGAAAGGTCAAAAAAATATAATTACAGTCACCTCAAATACTTCAACTTGACCTGTCTCATTTTTCACCCTGTAAATAAGGGAAGAAGAAAGAACTGGAAGAGGAAATGGAGTCTGTGAATCTTAAAATCTGCTTATCTATGCTGTCTCACCTTTTAGTAAAGTTAATATACAGAAGTCTTTCAAGGCAACAGTAGAAAAGGAACTTTACTGGGCTGTCATAAAGGAATTCCAGGCATTTAAATGCTTTTTGCTGACTGGTATTATGAGAAGGAAAAAAAAAAAAAAAAAGTGTATCATGCAGGGCCCACTCTAAAGGCCATTTACGCTCAAGGTGATACGTTCTCAGTAAGGTCATACTGGTCTGGGGACTCTTTTCAGGCTGCACAAACAGCACTGCTACCAACTCATGGTTCTTGGCACACGGAATAGCAGGAACCACACCTGCCGTTCCAGCCACTGTCTCATGCAGATGACTCCTAAAAGCCCAAGCAACCAAGTCAGGATGGCCTGACTATGAGTACAAGCCTTACCCTACGTTCCGAAAATTCCAGGAACTCTGAGAAATTCATGCTAAACTAATATCCCAGCTCACTGGCCACAGTCAGGTCATCTGTTGCAAAACGGTGCTCTGTAAACAGAATCTGCAGCTCACGGAAAGGTGAATTCTGAAGGACAAGGAAAAAAGTTAATCCTCTAGTCACTCTTAGGACTTTGCTGCTCCCCCTGTCTTCAGAAACAGCAATTTGTTATCAACACTGTGGGATGCAGCATCAAGAAGTAGGATGAGAGACAACACAGCAGTTATTTCAGTTTGCTAGGGAACAGAATAAAAAGTTACTTAAAGAAAAGATGTTGGCTCTCACACTCACTGAGAGGGGAGAAAGTCTAGCAGGACATCCTTCCCAGCACCAAGTCCCACCAGTTCCCTGGCTACTACAATGAGAACAAATCCTTGCCTTTTGCCGGTTCCCAATGCCCCGGGCTGCTCATGGTGGAAGCCTGCTGATCTCCCTCATCCATAGGATGCAGCCCCGCAACTTGAAGGACTGAAAACTGATGAACTGGTTTAATAACCGCATAAACGGCAGCTGCAGTCATTGTATGCAGCACAGAGCAGTGGCAGGTACAGAGCAGCTTCTCACACAAAGCAGAATACTCCACAGCTAACAGGGCCTCTTGCTACAGAAGATTCACACCAAACAGGCACATCTGCACTGGCCACCTACACATCCCAGCGTGTTTGTTTGTTCTTTCTGCACTAAATTACAACAAAACACTCTTCCCGTGTAGTAAATTATCAGGCATCAATGTTACGGTGAGAGACTCTGGGGAGCCATAGATTTTCCCTGTATGTGATGAACCTTCTGTTCCATGCTGGTTTAGGATACACAGCCGTACATCCAAAAACCGCCTAAGCAAGCAGATTGCAACTTGCTAACCAGTACAAATGCTTGAATTTCCCAACATATCAGATTTCAAGGCCCTCAAGGATTTTATGACTCTATAGCTTGGCAGGAATAAATATGGATCTGAGTTATAGGATTATTCATCCTATAACTATAATGGTACCCACAGGATGGCAGAAGTATCCATCAATATTTGTTCTTCAATATTGACTTTATTGACAAAGTTGCAACTACAAAGCTCTGCAGTCTCCTCTGTTTTTTAAAATACAAATCTAAGAGACTATCCAGGGACGTATTTGAACCAAACAGGTGACCTTGTAAAAAAAAGGTATCGAGTTTAGACAATGGAAAACTAAACCATATAAGCTGTTAAATGGAAACTGAGCGTAATAAAAGGAAATTTGCAAAACAAAACAAAGTACATGTGAAGAGAAGAGCCTATTTTCAACCAGCTGGCTGGCTAAACAGCAGAGGACAAAGAAACAAGAGTTATATAAAATAAAACTACCTTATTCTTACTAGAGTCCATCCCAAAGTCAGAACATCTGTGTTCCACAAACATGTCATATTCATCAAAACTGTCAGGGTCCAACAGCAGAAGAATTCGTTCCCTTGCTGTCAGCTTTCCCTGAAATGGAGCAAGCAACAATTAATAAATCAATACAGCCATCAGGTGGGTCTGGCTGTGGTTACTGACCACCAGCGGATGGAGTTTAATCAAAGACATCCTCACGTGATCGGCTACCTTTGGCCCATTAAGCAATGGTATGCCCCCAAAGCTGGAAACGGCCTATATACTGATTATCCTACTTAAAACCAAAGCTAATGCAAACCAGACTTTGAGAAGAAGGCTGACTATTGGAGCAGCACTACCACAAGATAAAGGAAATGATCTCAGAGTCTTTTCGACAAGATACAGCAGCATCACAGCTATTTTTGCCAACACATTTAAATTCCACTATTAAGGCCTTTGTTCTATTCTTAAACATGGAAGCCTTCCACAGCTAAACCAGTCCTTACCAACAGTTCAAGGCTCAATTCACCACGCTTGATATCTGACTGCAGCAAACAAGAGGAAAAAGGAAATACAACAGCCTGCAGAGATTTTCTGACAAACCCCTTTTATATTCTTTTTTCTGTTGGACACTGGCATAGGCAAAAGCAGAGTAAGGGCTAAAACCAGAATTAATTGACCAGATATGCGTATCCCTTGCTTAGCACTAATGATGCCATGCAGTAATAAAGGACTGCAAAGTTCTTTTTATCTTAACTTTCCAAACAAATTTGTTATTCCTAACCCAGGTAAGCATCTGTCTACAAAGGTCAGGGCATCTGGGTTGTCTTCTTTAGGGGATGGTGTCACCCTACCTCAACATGACATTGAAACACAGCTCGGCTTCTCTACAAAATTTCCAGTCAAAATGTTCATGAAGATCAACAAATGCAGGAAACACTAATGTCAGCCACAGATTTAATTTATATAAACCATGATATGGTTGAGGCCCCTAGACATGCAGAAATGCTTGCCTATTGGTGTGTCAATGTCCTAAATGCAACCTAGTGAGCCTGCAACTCTTTTTAGATGTTGTGTGATTGCAGGAGGGAAACTGCTGATGGACAAATTGATCATTCATGTAGTCTTCACACGGATGGCTATTACTATCTCCTCAATGCCTACAAGCCACTGTGGTACCACTAGTTCCTTGCTCTAAACAGAAAAGACATCCCAGCAAGAAACAATAAAAAAGAAACTGGAAAACTATGTTGCCACCCCTCTCAGCACTACCTAAGTTCTGAACAATAGAGGCAAGATACTAAAAATCCAGCTGTTGCCATCCTTCCCATCTGTCTTTTCCTCTGCCGTATTTCCACTCTTCTAGCTCTTTGCTCTCACCTCTCAGAAGATCAGCTTAGATTTGCAACAGTGCTGTAAAAGATGATGGTACACCTTCAAGCCCAAAAAAGCATTAAGGCACCTAGAACTTACCGTCACACGACAGGCAGCAGTTGCAACTCTTGTCCGTGTTACCCCTCATACACCGGCGTTACAGCCAGCCTTGATCACAAAGCTGAGGTGTATGAACTATTCTTTCTCCTGCCTGCACTAGCAAGTAACGCAGCCTTTAAAGCCGCTTCAGCACAGCTCCCCACCAAGGGCCTCTGCAATCACAGGCAGCGCTCC